CGAACGGTTAACTATTATCAATCACTCATCGAGCATGAAAATCTGAGGGGTTTGCATCATAAACTGGTTATCGACAAGCATCGAAACTTATTTCAAAAAGGCAAAGGGAAAACAAGAAATGACGAAAAGCGAAAATCCATATGTATATGGTAAAGTTTCACGAAGACGTATTTACAAGGCTCACGCCTGGAGCCCTTACACGCCTGGGGTTACTTGACCAGACGAAGCTCCCTCGGAAGTTGTGCCTTCAACGGCCTGGTCTTCGACCCCCGGAACATCGACGGCCTCCTCCCCTCGGGGACTTCACCTTCGTCTTCATCGCCCTCCGAACCGCTTGTCGAATCACTGGATGAACCACCATCGGAAGAAAGCAAAATTGCTGATTCTTCCTCTAGGGCCTTCACCCTCTCGATCTCGGCGGACAAATCGATTCCCCCTGCATATACATCCTCGAGAGACTGTCTCCGAGATCTTAATTAGGCATGTTCCACGGCTCGGGACAGTTTAAGCTCGGCCTCTTCAGATACCTTCCTGGCTCGAGCATTTGCAGCAGCAACATCTTGTCGGTATGAAGATATAAGCGCAGCGGTTTCGGACTTAGCTGCAGATAGCTCAACAACTGATTCAGCATGGAGATCTTTGTACTTGCGGCTTTCTCCCCTCACCCCTTGAAGTTGGCACTCAACCGAGGCCAGCTTCTCTTGAAGAGTTTCTTTATCGGAAGACGCCTCATCCACGTGCTGCTTCAGCCCAAGGATTTCGGTATCTCTGACTTTGAGCTCCTCTCGCATCAGATCATCTTTTTGCTTGAGCTGAAAAAGTCAAATTAAGGCATCAAACGCTCAATTGACTGAAGCGCAAAATAAGCCCACGAAGGTCGTATTACCTGCTCATCGAGATCGGCCCGCTCTCGAGATATCCTCTCCAAATGAGCCCGAAGGTCACCTAGCTCCCCCTCCTTTTGGGCATGAAGGTCCTTAAGTTCGTCCAATTCATAAACGAGCTTCCTAAATTCATCCTCACAGCAAGCCAACTCATCTTGTGACTTGGGAAAAGCTTGATTGGAGAGCTTCACGGCCTGAAAACACAGGAGAAGGGAGTCGGGAAAGCAAGAACCGAACTCAAAATACAACAGTTGAGTCAAGATAACCCGTTGTTGAAGTTTCTCGGCTTCTTCAAAGATCAATGAGGCGTCGGGGCCTTCCTCAACCACGTATATCATGATGATGATGTCAGGACCCAAGCATCAGGAACCAGCTTTGTCAGAAAGTACTAAGGACAATCTGCGAGTCGAGTTCGAGCGAACACTCACTCGATTATTTAGCCCAAGGGCCACCCGAGTTTGAGCAGGTTCTCACTCGGGGACTATTTACAAAGCCTCAGGGCTATCTTTCTCTCGAGTTTGAGCAAACGCTCACTCGATTATTTTAAGCCCAAGGGCTACCCGAGTTCGAGCCAGTTCTCACTCAGGGACTATTAACAAAGCCTCGGGGCTATCTTCATCTCAAGTCCGAGCGAACGCTCTCTCAATTATTTTAAGCCTAAGGGCTGCCCGAGTTCGGGCCAGTTCTCACTCGGAGACTATGTATGAAGCCGAACTCGGAGACTATGTATGAAGCCTTAGGGCTATCTTTATTTTCAAGTTCAAACAAATTGTCACTCAAATCGGGGCTACCCGAGTTCGAGCAGGCTCTCACTCAAGGACTATTTGCAAAGGCCTTAGGGCTATCTTTATTTTTATATGATCGAGCGAACGTTCACCCCACTGCTGAATCCAAAGGTTACTTGAAGTTCGAGAGAATTCTCGCTCGAGGGCCACCAACGAAGCCCAAAAGGGCTAGCTATCTTTCGAGACTCGAGACATAGCCCTCACTCAACTCGGACTCAGAAATCCCGGTGACCTAAGTTCGCATCAAATCAATCCGAGCTTAGTCCGAGGAATAGCAAAGGACTTTAAAAAAGCGTCAGATTGATCAAATAAAAACCTAAGGGTTTATTATCATTATATTCCGGGACCGGCGCTCGGACCAATCATTAGAGTCGGGCGCTTGGATTTTTCACAAATGAAAGAAGAATGGAGTTCAACACAAAACAGAGGCATTGAAGAGTTAAAGAATTCAAATCGTTCCTTGTTATTTCATTCCAAGGAACGCGGGGACTATCTGTATATTGTCAAAAATAAGGAAGGCCGATTTCGAGGCTTCTATGGAATTTCGAACCCGACCTCGATAAGCTCAGAGCACGGTCCAGGGGTCGTCCCCGAAGCATTCGCCTCGAGGGGGTATACCGAAGATTCATCATAGCATACCTCGAGGCAGCATGAAAATCGACGATCATCATAGAAAGGCGGAGAGATTCCCAATGGCATGTGATCAGAATTGACAAGGCCTGCAAGAATGGACCAATCAGTACTGAGCTATTATACAGCTGTACTAATAGCCTTTTCCCATCACTATTAGACATGTACTATGTTGGGATCCCCCCTCTTATATAAAGGGGACCCTTGTCATCTTGTAAAGGCATTCGGATTATTACACAACATATTGAATACAACAACATTCTCTGTTCTCTTTGCTAACACAACTGTTCTTTACATTTATTGCTTATTCTTACATTGTTCATTCATTGTTCATTTATTGCTCATTATTAATCGCAAAAGGCCATCTTTAAGGCCCTCATTACCATTGATTCTTTATCAATAGTTCATCGTTATTAGCTCCGTCTAGACCTCGAGGTCCTGCTTCAGCCAGCTCGAGGCCCGGCTTTGTGACCCCATTGGTTAGCATATCTTATTCTCTTGACTTATACCTAGCATCTATTGCTTAACAACTGGTATTAAAATAAATCACGTATTTTTAAAACCACAAAATCAAATATAATTGTAATTACCATTTTCAATGTAAACATATATCCTTTAGGAATGGTATTATCACATGGAAAGATCTATTTCCCCTTGTCATATGGGCAATTTGGATCAATAGGAATAACAATCTCTTTACAATACCACTAATAAACCGGCATTCCACTATGCCTGTAATCAAGCAGTGGAATACAAACTCCTCACTAAAAAAGAATATATAATGCACAAACATTCGATTTTGACCCTTATCGATAATTACTTATCAATTATCAATTTGTACATATGCTTATCGTTATCGTTTCAATAAGGTTTCGATTTTTTCGATTTCGATTTATCGATTTTGGGGGCTTATCGATTCGGTTATCGATTACACCAATAAGAAAATTTGCGGGATTCCACGGAAAGTATATCGCTATAAACGCGCCTAACTAATATGGACAAAAAGAAGCTAAAATAAGAGGAACACCATTTATAATATAAAAATTGTGTCAACAAGCACATGCAACAAAACTAAAGTAAGGGATCAAATGTATGCCACCAACACTCCAACGGTATAAAAAAAACAAAACAAAACAAAACACATCATCACGGCTAATTCTGTTTTCCATTAATTTGAACTTCATTCCCTTGATCTTTAAATATGATCATTCCTTAAATGTGGTAGAGGAAATAATAGGGTAAGGGACTTAGGGTAAAGGAAAAGGTATAGATTAGGGAAAATAATATTGTATAGCCGCTTTCAAAATTGTAGCGGAACATATATACATTCTGTATGTTATATTAATCTACACAATTAGGTAATTACTCATTTAACAAGTATCTACAGTGACCTAAGGGTGTGCATTCGATTTATCGATTCAATTTTGACCCTTATCGATAATTACTTATCGATTATCGATTTGTACATATGCTTATCGTTATCATTTCAATAAGGTTTCGATTTTTTCGATTTCGATTTCGATAACAAATAATCGATTCGATTTATCGATAAACCGATTCGAATGCACACCCCTACTTCACATAACCAAAGAACAAGGCTTAACCAATTTAAAAGTGAAAACGGACTCAATTGATGTCATTACCTGTTTGGACAATGGAACCACTACTTTTAACAACATTATTCATGAGTGCAGGTCATCAATGATCGAGGTGAAGTTCAGGAAATCCACAATATTTTTAGGGAAGCCAACATGTTGGCACACATGATGGCTGGAGAGCACTATGTGACAACAAAAGTAGGGAAGTTACTACTTCCCCCCTTACCCCCCCCCCCCCCCCCCGTTTGCAAGTAATGTTTTAAGCTCGGACTGTGAAGGCTCTACTTATTTTATTAAAAAAGTTAGGAAAAATGTTTGTTCTAGACCGGCTTATTTCGGGGACAAAAATGTCCTTCGAGACATGTTAGATAATAGCCAAGTAGAAAATGCCCCCTTGGGCAATTTCAGTTGTATGAACTCTACTATTATGTGATACATATAAATAAGATCCCTGTTCTCAAAAAAAAAAAACTCCATTTTTCGAACTTGTTCAAAAAATTCTTTTCTTGAACCGAAGGTCTATCGGCAACCTCTCTACCTCACACAAGGTAAGAGTAAAGACGGTTAAGGTTGTTGTACATGACCTCATAAGAAAAGAATAAAACAACGATGTTTCCCGCTTCTGGTTTTTGACATAAAGAAATAAGTAATAACGAAGGGGACATTTTCAAATTATCTCCTAGCTAGTGGAACAAGAAAGACATGGATGGTTTACTCGTGTAAACCAATAAGAAAACGAGAATAGGTAAGAGTAAAGACGGCATACACTGTATCTCGACCTGTAAAATCACACTGGGTATGGGTATGTTGTTGCTGTTGACTGTTGTAGCTAGAATAACCAGGCAAAGCATGTAAGAACATCAACAAGATATAGCAAGTTAGCAACAAGGCTTTGCCTTTAACTTAGAACCAATTAACAGACTCAAACAAACAATAAGCTCTGCTTTAATACTCTTGCAATGCTATGTCAATCAGTGGTCAATGAGAAATTGAGAAGTAATAAATGTTTCAAACATTTTTTCCCAAAATCTGTACAAGGATTATAGAGATTCTACGACTACTCGAATTGCCAACATATATATATATAGATAAATAAACAAATAAACACTAATCTTGTCCAAAATAGCAAAATGTTGATCAACCTATTGCAACGCTTTGAAACGCGATTCCTAGCCTGCTAGCCACCTGATAGCCAGCTTGTTCTTCAGGTAAAAAGTTGGAACCTAAATAATTCTAAAGATGCCAATGCCAGACATTCTTGATGTAACTATTAAAGAAAAGTACACCTCAATCCAATCCCAACCACCAAAATGCTTACTTCAGAATCATTTTAACAGTACATTAATACTCCTAAAGTCCGAAAAAAGGGAAATGCTCTTCTTTCAAGTTCCATTCGTCGTTCTTGGTTAGAGAGGTTAGTGTCATCACAGTTCTGAAACTCAAAGACTTACCCCGTTGAATCCAGAAGATCCGCAATATGATCATCAGTCATTGAGAACGCGCGAAATGGAACTACCTGAGTGATCCGTTGAAGCTATGATTAGTCGATAAATAATGTTGTATAATGTCACCGAGTAATTTAGAACTTCAAATTAGCTTGGTCCAACTCATTACTCGATCGCTGCTCGTACCAGCATGTAATGAAATTTTTGTCCGCTTTGTGCTGTGCTCCCTGCTGCTAGACTTTCCTTCTTCGATATCTTCATCAACAAAGTTTTGATCCATCACCTCTGAAATGATATAAGAATAATATTAATGGCTTGATAAAGAGAGCGGAAAATTAATCACACGTGTTTGTTGAAAATCTCAGCTACCTGTAACATAATCTTTATGGGACGAACCAAGTTCAGATGCAGGAGATTGATTCTGTTTCACTAAGGGAGTGTTCTTGTGGAGATTTGAACTTACTCTCCTTTGATGTGTTCCTTGAGATTTGTAATGTTTAATCCAGGGGCTTGCTAAAACGGTACGACCAGATTCATTTGTTTTATTTAGCTGTGGCTCGTCTTTCCCGAAGTCAATTTTGGTCCAACAACCATCTTGAAACACCTTATACTGATACAGAAAAAAGGGCATAAACGAGAGGAATGAAATCAGATCCTGAGAGCAGCAGAACAAACTAAGAACGAAAAAGCTGATTAAATAGAATTGACATTCAATTGAATCAAACCTGGCCTAAAGGATTGGCATGCTTTTGCCTCAAGGATTTAGACTTTGACAAGTCATTTTGGGAATGCCAACCAACTAAGTCTAGTGAACCGTATAATTGTTCGACAAAGGATGCTTCCATTGACTTGAGATACGAACTATGCTTCTCATCGGTCCATTCTATGCTCTTTGATCGAGGATGCTGAGATTCCTGAAAGGAGAAACCGAGTACTTAATGAATCATATTTTCCAGCCCAACTTTGCTTGTTAAGTTTGTACATTGCCTTCTACAACGAAGGAGGGGGCGTGTATGTCCTTATTTTGAACTCTCAAGAATGATCACATCATGCAATTAGCACTAAAGGCACATATAACATGATAATGAGGGCTGAGATAAATTGGAAAAGCATATGCTTAACATTATTTCTACTCATTCCCATATTCTAATTGCACAATTAGCATATAATAATATCATTGTCAACTGATAAAAGACAAGGCAATCACACAAGAAAGGCAGGTGGGAGGTAGATTCAGTTTACTTCTTATGAATTTGGTGGATTTTTTAGGCAAGGCCAGATTCTTTTGTATTCACTATGTCCCAATTCACGTGACAGTCTTTTTTTTTGTCAGTCCTAAAAAGAATGACATCTTTCTATATTTAGTAACAATTTAACTTAAAATATCGCCTTTTTACTCTTAGTGAAATCATTTCTAGCAACACAATTTGCTATGATTTGTTTTGGACCACAAGTTTCAAACAAATTTCTTTATTTTTTAAACTCCGTGCCAAGTTAAACACCTTCGTATAAATTGGGACGGAGGGAGTACTACTTAATACTAATTCCTCAACTTAACATGCTTGCATTAAGCGTACAAACTTAATTTTTTATAATCTAACTACTGTCTCCATGTAACATTTCGATTTGAACTTGATGCAAAATCATGTTTTTATCTAGCCTTACTACAGATATATCAATTCAATAAGCTAACTGATCTTTATGAGCACTGTCCTCCATTAAAAAAAAGAATAAAAAGATAAAAACACAGATTATCCCTAATAATGGATAAGAATGAGAAATAAATAAAAATCATTTTACTGTCTCTAGAAAATGATCTACTTACTAACTACATAAACCCTTGAATCAAAAAATAGTAAATATCAACTCACCAGATTAACACAATATATACATACAGTTCATAAAAGATAGAAAACCTACTCATAATAATCACATAAACAAAAACCGAAATTAAAGTTCTTTGAGCTTAGATCAAACAGAAAATATACCTCCATAGCCAAAATATCTTCATGTTCATCAATCTTTCTTGAAATCTTATGACTCATATCTTTTCTTGAAGTTTCCATTATCTGATATTTTAGGACCAAAAAAAAAGAACCTATACCTTAAGCTTTACTAGAGAATTTATTACAGAAAAAAATTGGAGTTAGTATTTATAATGTAAATGAAATGAGAGGAAAAAAATGGGAGGAACTTTCAGTACAAAAAAGAGAGGCTCAGCTGTCACCGCTTTATACATGTGTCAAAGAGAACACGTCAACTTAAAGTATTTCAGAGACGGTCCATTAGATATTTTTGAAAGTACTAAAAATATCAACGGGGGTATACATCCACTAGAAAATATCTTTTGTCTTTATTCAATTCCTGGAGTTATTCTCAACTGCCCATACCATACTAGGCAACATGTGTTCTGTCATTTGAAACGACGTAGTTTTCACTTCTATCTTTTGACCATGTCATTCCTTCTGTCTTATTATTTCGTATATTTAAAAGTCTATAGGCACCACCATATGTATATCAAAAACATCTCTTTATCCTTGAATGCATCAACTGCTTCAAGAGTCTCTTTCCCTAATCTCATAGCCCTTCATTGGTCGTACAAAAAATTTAAAAAATAATCAGATTTATAACTGATAACTAAAAAATAGGTACAATTTCAAAAGTAATCGAAATTTAGTTATTTTTTTCATGTAAAAATAAAATCTGAATAAAAACACCCTTAAAAATTCGGAAATATTCTAGCATAATATGCTGGAATTCGAATTTTTTACATATGAGCTTCCAGCATAATGTGTCGGAATTTCATAATGTGCTAGAGTTCCAACATAATATGCGGGAAGTTTATATGCAGGAGCTCCATAATCCAACATATTATGCTGGAACTTTCCATGTGCTGGAATTCCAAACATAACATGCTGGAAGTTTATACGCGAGAGCTCCATAATCTAACATATTATGCTGGAACTTTCTGTGTGTTGGAATCCAATACAATATGCTGGAAGTTTACAAGCAGGAGCTCCATAATCCAACATATTATGCTGGAATTTTCCGTGTACTGGAATTCCAACATAATATCTAGAAGTTTATACGCAGGAGCTCCATAATCTCACATATTAAGCTGGAACTTTTCGTGTTTCAGCAAAATTGTGGCTATTTTTTAATGACTTTATAGACGCTGGCTATTTTTTAATTATCAGTCCAAAAAATAGCTATCTCATATTATTTTCACTTTTTTTCTCCTCGTTGCTTGTACTCTTGGTGCATAATTAAGAACAATGTACAATTAAATTATTTAAATGATAATTACAAATATAAAAAGTCTCAAATTTAGCTGCAACTTTATTTCACGGTGGTACAAGATTTAAATATCACCAAGAGTCCCCCTCTTTGAGCCAAGGATCTATTGCAAAAAATCTGTGAGCGTTACTGTGTTAAACCAAAAATTAGAAAAAACTGTTAGGAGAATTAAAGAAATCTGGAAAATAGTAGAGAATCAGAAATATTCCGAGTCCACAAGTTTCTTGTGTCTCCTTAAGGAATTTTAACCCCCTCACACGTTGCCAAGGTAATAGATTAAATCCTCCCAGGATAAAACGGAATAAACCTTCCTGCAACAGTGGCAATACAAACTGCAGGATACCAACGAACTCAAAGAACGGAGCAAAATCACACTTACGAATTTGAGAGAGAGAGACTGCGAATTAGGATGCAGTATATTCAGAAAGAAAGAAGTTCTGGAGTGTTTTTCATGTGTAGAAAATGGAGCCTTGCCTCAGAATTTATAGGCAATTATCAGAAGAGGTGTCTGGAAAAGGTGCCTTTTCAGAAGAATACGCTAGCCTGCCGCGGTAACCGCGGTCAGAGAGGCTCTCTGAACCTTCAGCAGGGTTCTGGCGTATTTTCAGCAGTGATTTGGCATTTAATTAATTATTAAATAATTAAATAAATTTTGCCGGAGCCGAGCGAGCGACGACGACGGCGCGAGGGTTCATTCTCTTCAACTCCTTTTAAGAGTTTTAAGAAGTGATTCTATATATAAGTACACAAATGTGGTTGTCCCTCACCAATGAGGGACAAAGTGCAAGACAAAAGTTCACTTCTTCAAATTTTCAATTTCCCTCCATTTATTTCCCTCCATTTCCAATTCACACTTCTTCTACTTTAAAGCTCAATGGCTTAAAGTCCAACAAAATCTCTCTATTTTTTAAAGTTTGTGTGCACATTATCCTCCTCAAACATGTGGGATTAAACTGAGCATGTTGTTGTTATTGCTAGCGTCCACCCTTCCATGGGCCCACCCCTATCTCTACCATTTAAGAAAGGCTAAAAGACCTCTTGACCACTTAAACTTGCACCTGATTGCCAAGCCGGTAAACAATTGCGCTGACATGTCAAATACGTCATATGATAGACTATTTATTGCGTGACATGTGTCATTTGTGGGTCCCATTTTTAAAATTAATTTATCAAAAATTCGTTTCATTTTTTACTTGTCTTCTCCACTCAAACACACACACCCCCCCCCCAACCAAAACCCAACTCGCCAAACCAGTAAATGAACATACTGCCGGAAAAGCCTCCGGCAAACACCAATTCCAAGAAATTAGTCGGCTTCCTTCATCTCTTTTCCTACTTCTCTTCTTAATTTTATTAAATTCAATTAGGGAGAAGTTTTGACCGCCAGAAAAACTCATGACTGCCACCTCCAGTTCGCCAACGACCAACCAATAACCACATCTCTTTTCCAAAAAGTCTCAAATCATAAGTAAAACAACATGCCTTCATATTGAATCTGACCGAAAACTCCAAGGTGCTCTCTCTCTCTCTCCTTGCTTAAGTTCAAAACTCGTAACTTGTCTTTACTCAAACCACTCATTATATTTGAGAAAGACTAAGAAAACGAGATGAGAAAAATTAGAAAGAGAATAAAAGAACTGGATAAAAAAAGGGGTGGATTGGAGGGAGATAAACGGGGAGAGGTTGCCGGTGAAGAGAAGAAAGAGAGTACAGGATTACTGACGGGCAATGGGTCGTTTTTCCCTTTTCTTTTTCATTTTGTAATTTTTAAATTTTTTCTTTTGATTTTAGTATTTATTTTAAATCGGATTATTTTATTCACGCGCACTTTCTACGTGATTGGCACCCTCCGAAGTAGTCGTGATGACACCTAGTCTCTAAACTAGGTAAGCCTAACATTTACTGAAATACCATTAACATTTACTAACTTCAAATTAAATAACTATCACTAAATCACAATTCCCAAAATCGGTGGTACAAGTCATAAGCCTTTCTAAGAGTAGTTATACAAAATAAATACAACATTGTTCCAGAACTAGAAGGAATCAATGGAACGTAAATACAAACAAAGGTGACTCCGAGACCTACAAACGCAGCAACAGATTACCGTGAGCCTCCACCGCGACGATCCGCTATCGATCAATACCTGGATCTGTACACAAAAATTATAAGTTTGTTAAGTTTAAGTGGCGGGGAGTCTTTTTTGCCTTTAAGAAACTTACAAGTACCTTTCTACTAAAGCATGGGGTGAATAACCTATAAAAGGTATAGATAATCTGCTACAACTACAATCCCTTAAACTGCATTGGACGTCATAATGTTCTTTAAAATGTAGGTTAAATTAATTTTTTCTTAATTCAGCAACTGTGCGTCTGAGATTCTAAATTTCTAATAAGAAATGGTGACTACAGAACCGAGTTAATACTAAAAACTTATGCATATTTAGTAAGTCAATTTTTTTCTTCATTGTCAGTAAATTCCAACCTATAATAACAAGTCATCTATTAATATTCAGTGCATAAATATTAAGGTCTTTCTATTTTGGTTTCTTTCGTTCCTTCGTATCAATAACAGCATACCTAATGTAATCTCATAAGTGGGGTCTGGTAAGAACAGTGTGCGCGCAAATGTTACCCTTGGCTATTTCCCATAGACCGTTGAATCAAGAAAAACAAAATCACAACAGCTTTAAAAAAGAAATACGGAAATAGAATTTGTTCTTTTTGGGCAATCAAAACTGTTGGTAAATATCCACTAAATATCCAATGATGCAATAAATAAAAATTGCTTAAGTTTTAAGACAAGAAGTTAGAAACGTAATGATATTGTGATTAAAGAGTCAAATCTCTGTGCCATGTGAAAGGAAGTAAAGCATATTCCTATCTTAAGAATATATATCTCAGCTACTACTACTTGTTGAGTGCCTCCATAAATATCCTGGATTTTATGAGTTAGATATTATTTCCTCTTTTTAACATAGATATTTCTGCCTCTGTTTTAACTTCTTTAGGCTCGTTTGGTACGAAGGATAAAGGATAATTAATCTCGGGATTAAATTTAACATGAGTTTATTTCATGTTTGGTTAATATAAAATTACGGTATAACTAATCCGGGGATTAGTTATCCCGGGATTGTAGTTTTTATTTTTATCCCTATAAGAAAATGAAATAATTAATCCTGGATAATTAATCTTGAGATAAAATATTTCCAACAAAATTACTCCTTAGAGATATGGGTCTGTGAAAATAAAGAAGACCACCACAGGCATAAGATTTGAACTATAAAGTAGAAATTGCAGAAGAAAAATAATTTGATTTAATTGTTGTTTTAATCCCAACACTATAATTGAAGTAGTCTTAGCAAAATTGACAATTCCCCATTAATATAATCTGATAGAAATCAAGGAATGTATCTGTTACAGTGTATGTACATTAAACATTTACCACTACATAATAATCAGATTAGTAAAACCGAAATTAGAGAAGAAAAAAAAAAACACAAAATTATGTGAAAAATTAAAGCTTATTGTTTATTCTCTTTTTGTACAAAGGAAATTTGCCGGATCTTGTCAGTGAGGAGGAGGACAAGCAATTGGACTCATAAAATCTGTTGTTCTCCTTTTTGGTCTTCTTCTATTATATCTTCCAAATCTATCCGACCTGCAATCAGTGGCGAAGCCAGAAATGTTTCCAAGAGCGTTCAAATTTGAAAGAACTAAAAAAGAATTCCCGACAAACGGTGTTCAGTATATATTTTACATAACCAATGTGCAGGAAAATTTATCGTACCAAATAACGACACCAATGAGGGAGGCTTTGAATGTCCATTTGAACTCATATCTATACCTGCATAATAAAAATCATTTAGATACAATGGAAAGATGGTGCATATGCAGTGATGAAATGCAGAGATGATACAGCCAAAAAA